AGGCTAAGTTAAGGGCCTCTTGGGATGAAGCCCAAGTAAAGAGCTTTGACCTCCCCTTTCCATTAGGGTGCTGTCAATCAATCGCCCAACTTTAATCATGAAATACATCGCTTGAAACTCAGCCTGTGCTGGTTGCTGCTGTGACTCATCTTGGGCTTGCTGCTGGCTGTCTAAATGTTTTCACCAAAGCCATATGGAGTGAAAGTCTCCAGCTATTATACTCCTCATTAACGATACTCTCTTCCCCTGGGCCATGTATGACGATTAGAGTATCTCCAAGTTTAAATCAAAGCCGCCTTCTCTTACTTGTTTGCTGGGTTGAAATGGTGCCTTTCGGGGGATCCCTTTACTCTGGCAGTGTGGGGCTGATTTCTGTGCCCAGCTCTGCTGTTGTGTGCGCAGCTGTCGGACCAAAGAGCCCCTGGGCAGTGTGGATGTACAAATCCCTAACGGGCGACTAAGGACTGTAGGCTAGATCACAACTCTAATAAACTTCCCTGCCTTAGGTGTTTGCTGATACCAGGCACATAGAGGGAAGTGTAGGAAACCCATTTTCAGCCTTGGCAAAACCATCTCTAGGGAGATCTTTACTCAGCTGTCTGCTTGCAGAACATGCCAGGTTTTACTCCCTCACGTGCTCCGAGTATCTGCACTTGCCGCTGGCCACTGCCATATGGTGTTGCTGCCATCACACAGGGTTCTTGGGTGCAGGGTGCCCTTTGATCTTGCCCCCATTGCAGGAAAGCTGTGATCTGGCCCATGCCTGTAATCGCTGGTGTTTGGGAACTCAGCATCAGCCCACATCTGCCTGGAGAAAGCATCTCCTGAACTAGCAGAGAAGATCCATGCAAATCCCAATCAATCCTCCTAGACTGATCTCATTACATAGAATCATAGAGGAATTCAGATCAGGAGAGACTTCTGGTCCAGCCCCCTGTTCAAAGCAGGTTGCCTAGTTAGATCAGGTTGCTCACAGCCTTATCCAGAAGATATCTTGGACCAGGGATGGAGATCCTATGACCAATCTGGTCCCCATTCCAATGCCCAACTATCCTAAGAGGGAAAGAATTCCTAATATCTAAATGAAATTCCCTATGTCCCAACTTGTGCCCATCGCCTTTTGTCCAATCCATACGCACCTTCGAGAGGAGTCTGGCTACCTCTTCTCTGTGTCCTTTGATAGTTGAGGAGAGCTATGAGATCCCCCTTCACCTTCTCCAGGCTAAACAAATCTGCTTCCCTCAGCCTCTCCTTGTACATCCAATGCTCCAGCCCTCTGACTTCTCTCAGATGTTCAGTTCTTAATAAGATGATCTTGCGGTCCTGGGCAGATGCTGGCAGATGGAAAGGGTCTCCATCACCAATGTCGTCTTTCCATCCTATCAGCAGTCTTCAGGATACTGTCTGTTAGTCACCTGTACAGATCCATTGGTTTCTCACAAGCGTAATGGATGGTTCTTATGCAGTGGTGTAGCTTCTACAGGTATTTCCCACACCCTGCGGCGTCTCTCATGTCCTACCTTTCCAAGCTGTGGGTCCAAATTCAGTGTGATAGATTGCCTTACATTGGACAGGGCTTCTCTCAATATCCAAAAAGCAACAGCAGCAGCTCAAGGGGCTTATGATTCTGAGGTCTTTCTCCAGGGTTCACCAAAGATACATGGGACAGAGAGAAGCTGCTTAGGATAGTTTTTAAAGGAAGCAGAGGGAAGAGATTAGGGCTGGATGAGGCCAGAGTGGCGGAGGCAGAAGAGTGTTCCCTCCTGGGGTTTGTGGGCTGAGCTGGGAGCAGAGAGGGGTGAAGTGGAGAAGGAGAGGACGGACACCTCAGCTTGTGATAGCTGTCAGGCACGCACTGTTCTCTGCGTTGCAGAGCAGCAGGGTTGGTGTAGGGTTAGAGCAGCAGCCCTGCAGCTGCAGCTCTGCTCTTAGCCGTTGCAGTGTGGTTTAACACACCCATATCCTCCCATATCTCTGTACCATGGTGGCTCCAAGGGGAGATTTGTTAGTCACGAAGGACAAAAATATGCACAACACTGCTGTGACCCTGACTGCTCTGTTGTCCCCACACACACTGAAGATCTCGAGGAGGAGGGCTCCTACTGCACAGTCAGGGCAGCTCCCAACCATGCCTCCCTCTGGCAGGTTCCCGTTCCAGGGGCAGGATACGAGCAACCAAGGAGGTGCATGGGGCACCACTCCGTCACCTTTCTGGCTGCAGCAGAGGAGCTGGGCTGTGAGTTGGGCTCCTGGGGGACCCCGTGAGTTGCTCTTCCAGCCTCCATCCATTGCTCCTTCAGGAGCCCAGCATGCACAAGACTCATATCTATAGGAGCAGCTCCAGTCTGTGGGCTCCATCTTCCCCTCCAGGTTCCCTCACCAGCCACAGTTACTCTCCATAGCTTGCTCATTCTGTAGGACCACCTGCTTGGCACTGCCATTCCTCTGATTCTGCCCGGTTTTAAATAGCTCCAGGCAAGAGACTTCCCCTTTAGAGTTTCTTGTCCATGACCTACTGCTTTGATGAGCATTTCCCTGACTTGCCTGAGGATAAGTCTTGCCCAAGGGGTGTAGAGTGCCATGACCCCAGCCACACCATTGCCTTCAAGGCTCAGGCAAGGGCTGGGGAGCTTACAGCTCTAGTCCTGCCATCGTCATAGGCTGGCCATTGCCTTGTTGGATGGTGTCCACTGTTCCCATTTTGAAGGATGCTCCTGATCTGCAACAGGAGCAGCAGCAACAGGAGCATCCTATGAAAAGGAGACCAGGGAGGGGTGTGTGAAGGCAGCTATTCCTGGCCAGGGTGGTCCTGAGGCAGGCCTTGAAGGTGTGCTGACCTCTGTGTGTCTCAGAGGGTCACTGGTAGGATGATCAGGCTGCCTGCATTGCTCCATGCATGCCAAGAACTGCGCCAGCCTCCAGGCCAATTGACACAGTGATAACATGGGGCTATGACAGGGAAGTCTTCAGTGTGAGCATGGCATTTGAAGTGGTAGCACCTTGGGCTGCTGGCTGCTGTCAGCACATAATGTTGGTGCTCATGAGCCCTGGGGCTTGCCTCTTGTGGTGGTTTGCTGCCACGGCTGGTTTCCCAGCCGTGCCATGCCCTCTTCCTCTTTGACAAGAACCCAACCAGACCTGGGGACAGCACTGAGCCAGGAGCTTTCTTACTGTTGTATACAGCTGCTTGTGGGCGGAAATCACTTCCCACCCTCCTGCTGCAGATGGGGGAGAGCAATCCAGCGCTGCCACCTTCTCCCTTTGTGTGCAAAGGTGAGGGATCACCTCTCTGATCTGGGATGGCTTCTGCTGATGAGGTTATGGGATGAGAAGGAAGAAGAGGCAATGCTGACACCTGTTTCAAGCCCTTGAGCTCACCCACTGGGAAAGAGCTGGCTGATAACCTGAGCCAAATACTTCTGCTACCAATGATCAAAGCTATTCTGGGTCATTCCTCCACCCAACACAGGTGAGAAGTGACAACCCCCCTTCTCCAGACCCATTCCTGTGCTACTATGAGTGATTAGATTTGTCCTTAGCTAATAAAAGCTGCAATAAACTCATATCTTTGCTTAATGGAGCATCTATAAAATGATCAGCCTTGTCATTTTAGCCTGGTCACAGAAATGACATTTAAAGAAATGCAGCTTCTTCCTGACAGGTCTAGAGCTGCGCTGAAGTTCAGCCTAACCCCAGGGAACAGCTGCCTGAAAGCACAAGCTGGCTGTACCATCTGCAACCACACGTATGTCATTACCTGCTTGTCCATCGCATCGGCAGGGAGATGTACCCGGGGAACCACGGCTGGTGAGCAGCTGGCTGAGCCTCCCTGGCCCCGGTGCGAGACCCTGGGTGCTCAGCAGGTGCTGGGTGTGGATGCACCGCATGGTGAAATGTCCAGGTCACGAGGAGCTCCAGAGTCGCAGAATATCAGGGATGCTTGCAAGCGGTGGGCCCTCAGCATTCTGGTCCCCTAGCAACCCTGCCCAGACCCCTAGCAACTGCAGCGTGGTCCCCTAGCAACCACATCCTGGTCCCTAGCAACCCCATTCAGGCCCTTAGCAACAGGGCTAAGGAAGGATTTCCTGTGGAAATTTGCAGGAGACGGATTGAGCGAGAGGTGATGGAGGACAATGAGCCCAACCGCACACCGCCTCACCGCATCCCCACACTGCATCCGATCCACATAGCCATCAGTCCACTGCCCTGGGCAGGCACTGGGTCCCAGTAGCACAGTTTAGGATGGGAAAGGGTCGAGGGGCTCAACATGCTGATGTGTTGGGTTGAATGTCGCCTGCGTGGCTGGGAGAAGTGAGACATAATTTCTAAGTAATCCCAATGAGTTCGTAAACCAGAAACAGTGGAAAACTGTTTTCTAAACAAGTCAGGCTAACCTAAACCACTCATATTTCCATTCTTAAACCTTCTCTGCCAGCTGTCTTGGAAATGTACCTCACTCTGGGAATGATTTCTCAAACAGTTTTAAATGATGAGTAGATGACCGGTATGTGCCGGCTCTTTCGCCATGTCCCGTCATGCTGATCTATCTCTTCCTGCCCTATAACCCTCAGCTCTGATCTGCTTCCTATTTGGGATTCCTGAGTCAAACGCTCCAGCTGTGACATCTCCAGTTCCCAGACCTTGACTGCCTGAAAAATCCAGCTTCCAGAGCTGGTGCTCCTTGGCAGTGTTTGGAGGGGGGAGATCTGCCTCATGGAGATTCCAGGGAAGCAGAATTTGTCTCTGATGTACAATGATTTGTTAATGTTTTCTCACAGCCTGGCTTTGCTGTAGCCGCTGAGGTGTCATTCCTCCCCCTTCTCTTCCCCCGCTTTTCCCCTGCTACATGCATTCATTGCAGGAGAGCCAGATTAGCCCATGTGTGATAAATGTCTTGCTGCACATCACTGATAACAAGTCCAGTGATGTGTCTCTGAGAGCCAGACCAGGCCGGGAGGTGGGAGCCGGCCTGGAAGGGAAACCTCAAATATCCTCGTAAAATGGGCTATGACGTCCTTGTGTAAGTCTGTGTGATAACTTTGTGTAAATTAGCGTGACAGCCTGGTGTAAATCTGTGGCACATCCTTCCAGGTAGGGCAGTGGCAGGAGGGAGAGGCATACCGGCTTGGAGTGGCGTGTCAGGCTTGCTGGACTCCCATCCTGTCCGTCCTGGGCTGGTTGAGCCCACCACTGCTCTCTTCTGAAATATAAATAGCTTTCTCTTTTCTCCACATCTTCCTGGGAGGCTCAGGGATATTTATGGGTTGCTGTGGGTGAGGCTATGGAAAGCATAGGGTGTTTGACTGCTATTATGAACTGCTTATGGCAGGGTGTTTTTGTTTACATACCATGTAGCATAGTGCATCCTGAGCCCTGAGCAAGTGACATCCCCTTTCCTTGCCTCATTTTCCCCAAGTGAGTTGTGAAGGTGATGCTCACTGCTCCAGAGGGCGAGAAAGCTGACCTGGCCAGTCTGGGCACCACACAGGCTTTTCCCCACAGTGAGTTGGGAAGGATGGGGGCTTCATCCAGCCTGTGCTGGGAAAGAAGCATTGCGGGATCTTCACCTCCACAACTCCTTAAGAAACCACTTGGTGCTATGTGTGGGGCCAGAGTTTGGACCTGGCACATGTTAGAGGAGGGTTTGTGCATAGGCTTGTGTCTCTGGTGTCCGTACGTGTGCTGGAGATGCCTTACGATCTTGGAGGGCCCAGCTCTGACCTGTGCTAGCTGTTGCAGACAGGCGAGCTGGGCCCCAGCAGTGGTGCAATCGTTTATACGTATCCAGTAGCAATGGTTTAGCAGCATGTGCAAAACCAGTACTGCCAGACCTTTTCTGTGGAGCAGCCTGGCGTGGCATTTTTAACCTTAGTTGGTCTGGGACATGGCTGTTTTCAAACCTTGCCTGTGAAAACTTCACATTTCTTGTACCTTCCTCCTGTGCGGGCAGGGACCAAAGAGAAGGGCAGAGTATCCCCCTGCCTTGCTCATCTCAGTTTCTGCTACTCATTCCCAGCATAGATGTTTTCTAAGTGGCAAAACACCAGCAGCTTTAGTAGTTCTGGAAAACAAGAGATATGGGTTCCTCCCTCCAGCAGTTTTTAACTCCCTTGGCCTCCTGCTGTTCAACAGAGGTGAAGACCCCAGGAATTTCTAGGCTTTATAAGCAGTGCAGAGCTTGCACAGCATCGGTGTGGGCAGGATGTGCTGCCAGCACAAGCTGGTGAAAATGGTGCTTATTTGTCAGGCTTGGAGGGCTGGAAGCTCAGACAAAGTTGCCTGCTGGCCTCCAAGGTCTTCATGCAGACACTTCATGCATATTGCATGCATGTTTGGAGCTGTGCACAGCAAGCCAAGCTGACTCTGATGATAATGCAGCAATGAGCAGACCTTTTCCAGTGCCCAGCACTGCACAAGTCATAAATAAAGGTGAAATCCTGTCACCTGCAGCTCAGTGCTCTTGTGTGTGACAGTAACTTTCCATGTGGGCCAGAGTCTCATCTCACTTGCACCCATGCAAACAGGCAGTGGTGCTGCAGAGGTCATTGGAGTTGCGACAGGCTTGGAGTTGGCTGGGTGCTGTGCTCACCCACCTGGGCCAGGCTGTAGAGGTCTTCTCCCAGCGGTGATGGGCCCCAGGCCCTGATCTCCACTGTGCTGTCCCCTCTTGCAGCACCTGGCAGGCGACCCTCGCTGACGCTGCCCTGAGGCCTGCCAGCAAGGGGCCTGGAAATGAGTCTAATACTGTGGATGCGCTTAACGGTTTGGCTGATCTGGGGCATAGATGCATCGTGTTTGCTGGCAGGAGTCCATGGCAGCCCAGCCTGCCCTTTTGTCCTCAGCATCAATTTAACATCTCTTGCTTGCTAACACGGCTCCTGTTTCATTGACAGAGGACGAGATTATTTCCATGGCTGACTCGACCACAACCATTGACGATATTGAAGGGGAGCTCTTCAAAATCGAGAGGATCAGGGAGATCCTGGTGAGGAGGGAATCAGAGCTGCGATACATGTGAGTACCCTGCCCACCAGCCACTGTCTTCCCCCTTCCATGGTCACCCCAGCATTTTTGTCTGCTTGATCAAACATGAATCTTCCTCATGGAAGGGCAGAGCTAAGGCCATTCTCACCTGGAAAAACAGCTTCTCCCGCAGTTGATCCTATCTCAAAGTTCAATGCTCAAGAGCAGTTTCATTTATTAGCATTGGGTGCTGAAAGCCATTTTGGTGGCTGAATAAGATGCAAGAGCTGTAGTCACCCTCCAGAGACACTGGGGAAATAAGTCCCAGAAAAATCCCCTTTTGGTTTGTGTGGGTGGTGAAGGACTCAGTGACCGAGCAAGAACGCAGTGCTATGTACTGCAGATTGTGGGCAAGCACCGGGACATGAGCCACAGCCCAAGAGCCAAGTGGCTCCAAAGGTGCCTCTAGGTGCATTGTCCTCCTTTGTAGTCACTGTGGCAGAGTCCTCATGGCAGGAGCTGCCTTTGGGTCTCCATGTGCTAGTGGCCTGTGGATCACAACAGGTCGCTTTCCATTTGAAAACCAAACACTGTCCTAGCCTTGCTCTTGGAAGGGTCTTGATAAAGTCCTTGTTACAAAGTGGCACAGACTCAAGGATATAGAGGGCAGTTGCAGGCAGCAGCCCGTAGTTGGAGGCGGGTGGAAAGGACTCACTCCTCCAAGTTTGCAAATCAAATCTGCCAAAATTTCAACCACTCACCCTGTGCCAGAGCAAAGGGTAGCCCTGTCCCCCACAGGGCTCAGGAAACAAGCTGCAATGGAAGCAAGGAGCAGGCAATGAGTGAGACAAACCTGCTCTCCAAAATTCAAGGGCAGCTCTGCTCATAGCCGTGGGATTGGCTGCTGCATGGCCCCGCTGCATCTTGCAGGCTGCAAGGAGAGCCCTGAGGAACACCCACAAATTGCTTCAGCCCCCTCGGAGCACAGAGAGGCTCTGGGGTCCCCAAGCAGGTCCCTGAGGAGGGGGAGAGAGAAGCAGCCCAGTCATGACCCATGCTACCGAATTGCACTGACACAGGAAGGCTGTGCTGGTGGTGCAGGGCTTGAAGTAAGTGGTATGGATGGCATGACACCATGATGGTTGGAGCTAACCAATTTCTGTGCAAACAGAGTTTATAGCACAGTTTTCACTAAACTAAAATGTGCCCTATTCCACCACAAGCACCCCATCCTCAGGGAGTTCATACTCTTCTGCCTCTGTATGGCTCTTGTCTCGGGAAGGGTTCTGAGGTTCACCTGAACCTCAGGTTCATTGTTGGTCTCTGGAGATATTGCTCTGCCCCACTGCTGAGATTGCAGGCTGTTGAATATCCCCCACAGCTACAGCTTGCTCTCCCTGCAGTGCTGTAATATGCATCCTCCTAACTCCTCCTTTGCTCTTTCCCTGGTTGCTGGGGGGCAGTTTCTCCCTTATTGACACCAGTGCCCGTCTCTGCATTGCGTCCTGCTCTCCTTGCCACGCACAGCCTCTGCAGCCAGAAGTGGAGGGAAAGATTTTCTTAGGGCCCATTTCACTAGTCAAAACAGTCTGTGAGTAAAAAATCCAGAGCCCTTTCAGGTTGAAGGCAATCAGATAGTGTATTGCAGAGGTACCAATGGGCCACATTTTCCCTTGATGTATTGCGAGCTTCTGTGGTCCACGAGGAAAAGGACTGATTTACTTGAGCTCCAGATTATCAGCATAGTGATCTCTACTGGAAACTCTTCCCTTTTGGATCATCAATGTGGGGAATTTGGGTCCACAGCAGTGCCAGGGTCAAGGCGGCCCTGCCTAAAAGGCAGAAATAAAGCCAATTTGATGCAAGGTGATATTTGCAAGAGAAAAGCTCACAAAGGAAAGCTGTAATGAAGCCCGGGCTGCACACCCCCTCTGAGACTCTCAATGTCTGCAATCCTACACTCTGAGTTACCAGACAGAGATGGCTCAGAGAGGACTGAGGAAAAGGTTCAAGGGGCTGGAAGATTCATTTGCAGCAGAGGCAAATACATATCTGCCCCCTGTTTCTGCCTCTGCTCTAAATGTGGCTACAGAAATCATATCAGAAATGGCCCAGCTCCCCAAGTGGCTCTGCATCAAACGCCCGGGATCTCCAGCTTGCCCGGAGCCTGCTGTAGTCAGCAAGTGGCAGAGTGGGATGCAGGCAGCCTGCCAGCCATGGGTCTCCCATCTGCTGTGCTGCCTTTGGGGCTAAGGGTGCAAGGGCTCACGGTTCCTGGCTCCCATCACGGCTCTGTGCACTGTTACTCTCAAAATCCTGATACGGGCAAAAAGGGAGCACAGCATATATCTGAAGCAGAGAATTTACTGTTAGTCCCATTAAAATCTAAACAACCTAATCAAAATGCAACAAATGTTATTGATTGAGTTACAATAATACTAGCATTAGTCTTAGTTAATGCAGAAAAGCTTAATTAATACCATTAAATAGCCATGGCTAGACCAGTCCTGAAATCCCATGCTGTCAAGTCAATACAAAGCCTGGGATTTTTTAATGCTAGTGGCAAAAATCATACTTACTGGGCTGCAGCACCTGACATGCTGCTTGTCTAATGTGTCTGTGTCTCCACCTGTGCCTGGACCACAGGGAACACAAGAACTTGGTAATGCCCATATAAACCTGTTATCTAGCGTAGCTGTGAGCTAGATTGTGATTTAAAGGTATGATCTGGAGTGATGTGATTCGAAGTGATGACCTCTTTGAGGGATCAGCACAGTTCCCGTGAAATATATTGCTGAATGGGATTTTTGGAAGTCACAAAATGTGAAGTTCTTAAGCGCTTTCCATGGTAGCTGGAACCCAGCTCTCAAAGACGCTATCAACAGTCACAACTGTTGTTTTTTCTTATCCCCGTATTTGGTGTGCATTTGGAAAACAAAAGGAAATCGCCTACAGAAACCATGTACCAGGGTGGATATGGCTGCAAAATTAAACACTTGCAAGTTAGGGGTCCCTGGAATTATGTGTTTGAGCTGTTTGCATGTGGTGCAAGGAATTAGAGGCATTGCTGTCAGCTTTCTGGAGTGCACCACTGGGGCGGAGCGTAGCTCTGCAAGTCCACGAGAGCTGGGTCCTTTGGTCAAGGAAAGAGTCCCGAGGATTGTCTGGGCCTCACTCAATGTCAGCTGGGGAGCGCAGGTGGCAGACAGCTGTGGGAAGTCAAGCCTGGTCCAGAGAGCTAAGCTGCTGCTGAAGAAAAGGGAGACCCCAGGACCGAGATGCTTCAGGGTAGGGTTAAAAGCACAGGGATCTGGGGCAGGACAGAGTTAAAAGCACAGGGACCTGAGGCTGCAAAGGGGCTTTTTTTCCAACGGGGAAAAAACTAAAAAAACCTATTTAAATGTTTAGAGTCAGTTGAACTGCAGGGCACAGGCTAGCACGGGGAGATGGACATCTCTAAAGACCAGAGACATGCGGCACCCGTGATGCACTGCCGTACGGAGTTGTGACCCGGCTGGTCAGTTGATAACTGTCAGTGTTTTGTTCCTGTTGGAAATGTCAGACTAAAATGTTCCAACGTTTCTGAGATGCCTGTGCTGTGCAATATGTTGAAGCTCCCAATATTCCTCGTTTTCAGAGCAAAAGGAAAGGACAGCATTTCCTGTGGGAGACTGAGTTGTGTGCATCACATACTCCATGCAGGAGTCTGGTCCCAGGGTTGGATGGGGGATAGCACTGCCAGGGCTAACACTTCAAAATGTTTGATCTTAAGTGGTACAAATAATTGCAGCTCCAGCAGCATCCTTCTGGGTGCTTGTCTTTGCAATCTCTCCCAAGTTTTATTTAAATGAGAAATTTTTATTACTGCTCATTTTTTATTTTTAGTATCAATTTTAACAAGCTTTAATGATTCTAATTGAACTTTAATAATATTTCAGTTATTTACTTATTTCAGTTTTACTAAGTGAATTACTAATAAGCTTTTCATACTTTTAAAATAAGAGTGATTGTGTACAGTAAGCTTAGCTGCATGTATACGACTTTGTGTGCAATAGACACATCCCATGCTCCTAAAGAAGTGGGATATAAAACAATAGTGAGAATTTCGGAGAGAAAGAGGAAGGAGAGGCCATTGCTATAGCCTTGGTAGGATGTAAATTGGGGTTTTATATGGAGAGGGGACTAGAGCAGGCAAAGCAGTGCGGACCAGGTACTGTAGATGGTACATGAATCCTTCTGCATCAGAGCACCAGTGAATTTCTAATGGATGGGTCCTTGGGTCCTGATGTGCCTTAGGGTACACCTCAGAGCGTCCCGTCCTCAGACTAGCCAGATGCTGGCCGGAGCTGTGAGTGAGACGCAGAGCTGCTCTGATGGACTGTGCATGGAGCGTGCTTTGGGCTGTGCCTGCTTTTCCCTTTAAAGTGCACTGCCACACTTCTGTGGCCCTGTAGCAATGGTCTCTTTGAGAGAGGGACAGTCTGTTGCCTGTCTGTCCTTTGAGGACCTCCTGTTGATGCTCTTCATGCAAGCTGAGGGCTTCGTGATGATGAAGTGAGGAGCAGTGGATGGAAGGACAGATTGGCACACACAACTCCCAAATGTTAGCATTGATTGCCATGCTCCGTGCCTAACACATGACTTGCACTAGTCTCTAAAACAAGAAAACTTGTAGTTTGCAGACAAATGAAGACACTGTCAGATGGAGCAAAAAATGACAAAGCCAAGAGGAAGTCTTCTCCTCTATCTAGGATGTTCTCCTCCTACAGTGATATCTCACAGGGTCTCTTTTCGTGAGTCTATTTATTTTCCTTTCCCTAATTAGTATTGTTGGTGTCCTCCACTCAGCTGACAAAGCTGCAGCTTTGAGTAGCTCCCAGCAAATATGATTCATCCTGGATGGGGTGAATAGAGTGACTCAGCGGAAGTGCCAGCAGGATTATTGAAGATGCAGAAAAGGCTCTTAGCAACACGCATTTCAAAGTGAACCGAAGGCACTTCTGCCCAAGGTGCCACCAGCTCATAAGCCACAGATCATGTATTATGGCTTACTATCACTCACAGCTGTGGAGCTTGCTACCTCGTGATCTCAGCTGTGCTCTTGAAGTTTGGATGCTTTGCCGTGTGTCTTGCAAAAAGTGTAAGGAGTCCTTCTGCATTCAAGGCTTGGAAAACCTTGGGAAGCTCAAGCTAAGATGCTGAAGTGCCTGGTAGGCCTTAGGAGGAAGTATGGCCCTTGAGTTGCCTCTCTCGAGGTGAAAAATGGACCAACTGATTCCTTGTAGTTAACATTTGGAAATTCCACTCCACTTTGAGGCACAGTCGAGATGGGTTGACCAATGTGCTCTGTGATGTTAGTGCGTAACAGCTTCTTAATGAAACGTGTCATGAACATGATGTGTATGGGAGTAAATGCTCCTATCCCACCCCGAGTAGGTAAGGCACAGTACACAGAGCAGCACAGAGCCATATCCTGTGTGAATACATTTGGTCTCCAGCAGAGGTATTTGTGAGGGGAGCCCTTTCCTGTACCATCCAAGTATTGCCACAGTAGCCCTGGTGGGAGGTTACTATCTTGGGGCAACAGAGAAAGAACGAGCTGGTGCCCTTGGAGACAGTTACCGTAGAGGGGAATCACACTTATATTTCCTAGCTTAGGTCATTTGCTGCGATTAAAAAGGGCGTTTCTACCACCTTGGGCCACATATTTTGCCAGCACTGACTTGCTTCTTGTCCTGGGCCTTGTCTGTTGTCTCTAAAACACCTAGGGCTGAGATCCCAAGTGTCTCTGATGTCTAGGGAGCCCTTAGATAAAGGTATTTCTGAGATATCAGAGGATTTGTCTCATTGCCAGAAGCAAATGCTCCTGTTCAGAATGCCCGCATCTACCCTGGGGTGATGATGGGAACTCCTCTGTTCTGCTGGTGGAGCTGCTCAGTGCCAGCTGGATGAGCTGCCTGACCCCAGGCCCATCTGTCACATGGCTTCTGGCACCTTCACTCCGGGCTCCAAATTCCTGGAAGGCATGTATCGAGACTGCAAGGACTGATGGGTAAATGAAGGGATTTCTGCCTGGAGGTACCAACTGAGCAACATCTGGTCCTTGGGGCATGGGTAAGATTGTGATACCAGTCATGACCAGGATACCTATCTGAGTGCTCCATGTCTCTGTGTTTTCCTACAAATGTGGCCTTGGACAAAAGTAAATTTGGCCTCAAGAAGGGAGTTTGTTCACAAGGGAGATGTAGCTATGCAAAGAGAACACCCAACTGTTGCTCTGATGACAGGTCTGTCCAGAGGATCTATGAATATGCAGCTTGGGGACCCCAGGAAATTCCCTTGTCACCCTGCAGGAGCTAATGCAGAGCACAGAATAACCCTCTAATCATCGCAGCCGGTCAACTAGTTCTTACTTATACAGAAGTATCTTTGGAAACTCATCTTCAGAGCTGCACAGTAACTCAGCTGATGTGATGTGCCCGTTACATCTGGAAAATCTGGAGATGAAGTTTTGGTGCAGATGGTTTCATTTAGCCTCAGGACATGAAACACAAATGGAAAGATGCCAGATGATCTGGCCAGGGCATCTTACCCACACTATGGTAAGCCTAAAAAGAGAAGAGAAATATCCCAGTCTTGGCTCAACGGGCCATTCCTTATCAGGAGATTTACAGTCTTGCCACAGGGTGACACATCTAATAGAGTGCTGTCACTATGTATCATTTTTTGACTTTAAAACATCCTTTCAAATGAGCCTACAGCCAAAATCTCCCACTCTGGGACTTGGGTTCCTGAATGCTTCAATGCCAAGGAAATGGTACTTACCAGCTACTGAAGGGGCAGCCACCAGCTGGCTGGACTGTGCTGGGGCTCGATGATGAAATGTCAGAGCAGTGGCACCTTTTCCTAATCTTTCTAGTGAGGAAAAATGTGTGAGGAGCCCATGGAGGGATTAGAGAAGGAGCAAAAGTGTCAGATGAGTTGACCTCCCCATGTTTTGGTTGGAGATGTGGTGGGCCCACAGCTAGCCCTACCTTGGAGACACTACTGGAAGAGCAAACAGGGCAGGTCAGCCCTCAGGTTGGTGATCAATGTACATATGAGCTGCCTTAACAGAAAGCAGGAGTACTTTGAGGAAAGGATCCTGAAGGGCAAAGGCACTAAAGCTGGAAACTGTTGTCATGAGAGAGGTCAGGAGGTGGGGAACAGAGCAGTACAGGCAGATGGGTTAGTGCTGAGGATTACTGGAGAAGAGGCTTGTCTCATCTGCTGTGGTATCACCTCCCTGGGGGAGATGATCAAGGATGGCATGTTTTGTGGCAGAGAGAGGTCTCAGCCAGGAGCACCATCTGCTGTTGGGGTTTCCCTTGCCAAGGGGGAATACAGCCCTTCAGACTGAAGCACCAACACTCCCCATGGCCAGACATCATCATTCCTAGGTCTTGTCCAAGTGGGGCTTTAGTGAGGGCACAAGCAGGCCATATTTTTTGAGATAAATCAACAAATAAATTCAGGTGAATCTTCTCAGCCAGCCCTGGTGAGCAGCCAGATGCACTCGAGCAGATACACGCATGGAGAGGGCTGAGCATCTGCAATGCTTTCTCTTCACGAGACATCATTAAAGCTGCCTTTCCAGCACAGAGAAGGCCACACATCCCCCAGCCACACTGTCAGCAGATGCCACTGACATTTGAGTCTGGATCCTAGGGGGCCCTCCTAGAGTCCATCCTGACTGGTATCTCACTGCCGTCCTGTTGTTTGAGTCAGAGAATGTTTCATTGTCTGTGGCTTTCAACAGCAGTCTCCTGTCGAAATGACCTTGTTTCTTAGTAGGCATCTGCAAAGTCTGAGCATTTTTTCCCTGCATTCTGTTTCATTTTTTTGCTTTTTTTAATTCTGCAGAAATCCAATATGAAAATATCAGACCTTTTTATGTGGCAGCAGTTTCTGTTTGCTTTTGGATTTTACTATTTGGGGACTTTTTTTTTGAGAAGAAACACAGCTGCTATTGCATGGTGAATGTGCCAGGTTTTAATAAGGCATCATCATCATTAGAGCGATGAAACTTTTGCTTTGCCAACAACCAGTGACACAACCCATTTAGCTCTAATAAAAGCTCTGAAATGAAGTGAGCTGTTGTTCCCTGCGGGAAGGCAGGTAAATCTGTGCTCCCTGATGCACGCAATGAGCTTATTGCCTTCTGGGGTTGGTTGGGTTTTGCTCTGGAGGTTTTAAACCTTTACTCTCTCTGTCTTTCCCTCAGTGATTTTGTTTGTGTCTCTGCAGGATGGATGACATTCAGCTTTGCAAAGAAATCAGTCGTCTGAAAAAGGAGCTTCAAAAACTCATAGCCCTTCCAGGTAAGGCTTTGTAAAGTTTCAGAAAGCTGCACGATGCATTTGCAGTCAGCAAAAGATTTCTGTGAAATTCAAGAAGCTCTTGAATGGCTCCCGCTCTGGGATGCTCTTGGAGACACAGCTGACCTGAGATCTTTCTTAGGAGCTTGATTGCTTGCCATACTACCAAGGAGGCCTTGTCCAGGCCTGGACTGAAGGGTAGAGAGGAAACAGAATAGGAAAAGAAGTAGAAATCCTTTGCGGGGGAGCATGGGTCTGACATAGGGGGAGGAAGGGGAATGGTTGTTAGGTGGCGATGAATGCCGACATGGTGGGACCTGCCATGTCCACCAAGGAGGCCTCCCAAATGAGTCTGTAGAAGAAGAAGGGGACATCTTTAGACTACACTGTAGAGGGGCTTCTTTGGAGGTGAAGGAAGGGAGATGCCTTCAAAAGCCTGAAGTACTTGAAAAGCAATGAATTCTTGCTGTGGCCACATCAGAAACATCTGTCACCCACTGGGCAGACGACAGCTGCTGCCAAGGCAGGCCACACTCCCAGTCACAGCCAGGGTGGGATGGGTACTAGCAGCACATCATGCCAAAGGGACTTGGAGATTCACCCTGCTTTAGGTGAATACTACGTTCAGGATGTGGAATAGAGGTAAACAGCTAAGGGCAATGTGTAAAAACTTCAACTGGGAGGAAATGCTGCTTTTTTCCTTCATTGCCATGACCAGTGACCCTCCCTGTGGCAGCCAGCAAACCACCTACCTCCCTTCACAGCCCAGGGAAGGTCAAACTAGGCTCTCTAAAGGATCCCCTTCAGCCAAAATATTCAAATAAAAGCACACAACAAACTGCTCAGGGCTTGAATGAGAATGAGCAAGGAAGGTTTTCCCTTGAGCTGTTTCCATGACTTTTCCTAAAGCTCTGCCTCCTCCTAGGACATCCCTGTTCAGCCCACTGGTAAAGGACTTTACCTGTGTTTATTGGGCCAGATGGGAGGCATACCCCTGCTTTTTTGTTCCCATGAGTTTGGGCATCCAAGCAGTAAGATCTGGACCTCAGTTATTTCCACCTCAAATATCTCACTGAAGATCTTGAACTTACTGAGACCAATGAGTGTGCAGCAGGGGGCAATGCCTGAATCCAGACAACAGGCTAGTTGTGCACATCAGTTTGCCAGAGCAGCAGCTCAGCTGATAGGTCCTTTACAAGAGGTTATCTCAAAGCCAAAGACAGCAAGAGGCCTTGACTAACACTGTAGTGGTGCTGTGCTGTGTGTGCTTACGAATCATCAACATGTAGATTGAGACACTGGCTGCTGCTTAATATGCAGATCTCGATCAGTTTTGATACAACCTGGCTGCATCCAGAGGAAAGTTCAGACCGGGGAAGTGAGGATTCTGGCATAAAGATAGGAGCTACTTGCAAAGTGTAGACCCATATTCCATATGAGCTTTTGGTTTAAACACTCTCTAGTTCATAAAATAAGACTTGACCTAAGTGATGGCTCAGAACCAGAGATAAACTGGAACTTCTCTGAGCCTTGAGAAATGTGACTGGCTTTCCTTCACCTGCTTTGGTTTTTCATTTCTGGCCTTTTCAGCATTCCCAGTTTCCACTGAGACCAGAAATGCTGGTAGCATGCAGGATGCTCTTTTTGTTTCTATAACTTGACTCAAATCAGACTGTGCTAGAAAAATGCTGCAGATCACTATTTTGGAGACAGCAGCAGATCATAACTAAAAATGGGTGTTGAGGTCTGGTTCAGATAAGGACACAAACGCGTCAGTGCTTACTCAGAGCTCAGCCAGACCTGTAGCTTGAAATCTCACCAGATCAAGTTGTCTTTAATAATTCAGAGGCACACCACAGCTATGATGGACTGTGACATCAGCAAGTTGGAAAAAAAGGTGCAGTGTTTGTACAGTGGATATGTTTACTCTAGCGTGCTTTAACTCATGAGTTAGATTGTTAATTAACTCCAAATAGCTGATATGTTTGTGCACCAACCTGATGGCTCCGACTGCCATGGCATCTGAATGACATTGTAAGCGCTCCTGTTCCCAGTAGAGAGATGGGAGCTGCTGCACAGAGAGACCATAGCAATGGCCAGGTGACTTTGCATTAACTATTCATGGTAAGAGGCCAATGGCTGTGGCCCATACCTAGTCCAGATGAGCTTTCTCTGCTGGGAAGCCTCAGCTCATTGCATACACAGGATCATGTATCATCCCAATGGTAGGAGAAACCTCTGTTTGCTGGGGATGTTTCTAACAGCATGATGATTGTGAGAAGTTCCTCCTACTCAGACTCCCACAGCAACACCTCAGATCAATATATAACAGACTTTAAACTACAAATCAATACACAGTTTAGGTAACTGCTGAGACCCAGCCTACAGGTTTGCTCCATGCTGTGAATTTCACTGCATTTTTATTTAGCTGAAGGGAGACTGGAGATTGATCCATCCTGTGCTGGACTGGTTTTGAAGCTGGCTGCTGAATTCAGAAATGGTATTAAATAGCTGCAGGATGGACAGTCACAGTCTCCCCTCAAGGTAACTCTCCAGTTATCTTTAACTCCCTTTAGCCCTATCGCTATCATCTTCACGTAACTCACTTACCATTATATACCAGTCTATATAGGGTAGGGCTTTACAGTGATGTCAGAGTTTCCCAGGTCTTTTCAGACTCACTGCACAAAGATACATGGCACAAGCGGGCCCCAGAGTGCTAAAGATAGGCCACTCTGGGACTCTGGGGGTGCAGGTGACAACCAAGGCTAACACATTCAGAGTAGTAGCTTGCCAGACACTTGTGGTCATCCTTGTCACTGGGATGGGAATGACATCAGTGGAGGCTCACAATGATTTGGAAGGTCAGA